TTTATTTACACAATGGAATATTACTCATCCATAAAGAAGAATGAAATCATGGGCATCTGCCGGTAAATGGATGAAACTAGAGATTATCATACTAGGCGAAATAAGCCAATCTTACAAAACCAAAGGCTGAATGTTCTCACTCTGATATGGGAATACTAACTTACAATAAGCAGGGGGTAGGGGGTAGGTAGGGAAGAATAGAAGTTCACTGGATTAGACAAAGTGGAATGAATAGAAGGGAGGGTGAATAAAAATAGGAAAGACAGTAGAATGAATTGGACATGTTCTTATATGAACATACGAACAGTATATCTTCACATCATATATAAGCACAAAAATGGAAAGTTATACTCCATGTACGTGTGATATGTCAAAATACATCCTACTGTCATGTATAACTAAAAATAACAAATAAAATAATATTTTAAAAAAGATACCCCTTTGTTTTCTGGCCAATGGCAGAAACTTTATTGAAATGGAGAAAAGTTTATGGTAGACTGCAGAAAAAGGAAGGTTTTTTTGTTTGTTTGTTTTTGGCTTTTAATTGTCTTAGAAATGCCTAGGACACATCTGTGTGAAATGAAATAGGTAGGAGTACAGCCCTCAGAGGAGGGGCTTATGCTAAGGATACAAATGCTCTGCCCATCTGTGTAGATAGACAGCATTTAAAATTAAGGGGCTGGCTGACATCACCCCAGAGTAATGTTTACAGAAGTAGACTGGAGAATCAGGGTGAGTGGTCACAGATTAGAGAGGTGCAGGAAACATTCTAGATTTGCATCATATACTGCAGTTTTGGCTGAGAGCATGATCCGTTTGAACCGGGGACAGACCTGTCTGGATGAAATGAAGAGGGAATAGTGTGTGACATCACATAAGCAGAGGAGAGAGCAGGTGCTCAATTAGGATGTGGCTGGCCAAGCCATGTTAAGGATACTGGGGAATGACTGGACGATTTTCAACCCTGTAAAATTACTAACATACTTTTAAAATACCTGTGATTGAAGTGTGAAGACTGGTTGAGAGAGGGAAAGAAAAGAGGCTTCCAGAAATGTTGTTAAAAGAAGAACCCATCTTGTGTCTTGATGGCGATTGTGAAAGGGGACTAGAGAAGGCATTTGAAATCAGAAGGCACAAATCAAGTTCTTAGTTTGTGTGCTTGGAGGAGGTGTGAATATCGATTGAGACAGAGAACAGCAGCAGATGGAAGAGGCTTCCTGACTTTGATGTGCTCCTCATCAAATGGGTGTTTTGATATGTGAGGGCAGAACTGGGATGCATATTTTGATTTTTTTTAGTCATCCCCAGCCTACAGAAGTCAATTAAAGCCAAAGGAGTGAATGAGCTCACTATGCAAATGCATAATGAGATGAGAAAGAGGCTCAGGAAGCACCTGAGGAAAAACAGTGTTTATCAGTGTTAGAGATCAGAGCAATGGAGATGGAAAAAGAGCAGCCAGGGACCTGAAGCAAAACCCAGGGGACTCTGACCAAGGGAGTGAGAGCAGGAGCCCATTTCAGGGCTTTTAATAAAGTCTCAGAATTTTTCCCATATGAACAGGCTTCATGAAACTTCTTTTATGTACATTTATTCTACAACCTTTGGAATATTTGTACAGTTATGACAATCAGGCTATTCTGGCAATATGTTAATTTTCTAAGACTACTGTAGCTGAGTGACATGGACTGGTAAATAATATATATATATATATATATATATATATATATATATATATATATATATGCATTTTTCTCTTGATTTTGGAGACTATACGTATAAGACCAAAGTTTTTACAGAGTGGTTTCTCCTTATACTTCTATCTTAAGATTATAGATGGCCATCTTCTCCCTATATCTTCCCATAGGCTTCCCAATGAGTATGTCTGTCTCCTAATTTTCTCCTCTTATAAAGACTCCAGACACAATTCTTCATATCTCACATGGCTTTTTAAGAATTTGAGAATTCTGTTCTCTTCTGTGGTACAGGGGATTTGAATTTCAACACATGAATTTGGGGGGAAATAAAATTCAATCCACAATAGTCAGATGACATAAATCCTACATTTGCGGAAAATATAACTCTAAAACAAGAAAACTTTAGAAATCATACAACTTTGCTATTTTTAAGAAAAAAATGATTTATATAAATCATTTTCAAATTATTATATTATTATACAAATTTGTATGAATTAAGTTTCTTAAAAATAGCAAAGTTGTATGATTTCATATTATTGCAAAGTTTATTGGATGATGAAAATTTATGTCACTACACAATATTGATTCTTTGTGTGGTGTCAACCAATATTAACACCTCCTGCTGGCACACAAATCTATTATTAGAAGTGTGGAAGATGGAATCCAGTTCAACTTTTGGCACTGAGTATTGAACTTAGAGGTGGTTTACCTCAGAGCTCTATCCCCAGTTCTTTATTTTGAAAAGAATCTCACTAGGTTACTGAGGGACTCTCTAAGTTGCTGAGCTGACCTCAAACATGTGATCCTCCTGCCTCAGTGTCCCAGTTTCTAGGATTACAGGCATAAACTACCGAATCCAGCTTGGATCCAGTTTGGTGAATAGATGTGTGTCTACTCTCTCTTCGATTCCAAAATGTATCAAATAACAAAAGAAACATGTGTTGGTCAGTTTTTCATCAAAATAACTGACATAAACCACTTAAAGAAGGTATGATTTATTTTGGCTCACTGTTTCAGAAATTTCAGTGCATGGTCAACTGGCTCCATTGCTTTGTATTTGAGGTGAGGCAGAAAATCATGGCAGAAGAATGTGGTGGAGAAAAGATTCTCAGCTCATGGCAGCAATGAAACAGGGGGTGGGGGGTACACAAGATATAGTCCCTAAAGACAGGTTCCCCAGTGACCCACTTAGCTGTCAGTAGATTAATTAACTGATGATATTAAAGCCCTTGTGACCCAATAGTTCCCCAAACCCCTCCACTGAATGCTGCTGTGTTGGGAACCAGGCCTTCAAGACACGAGTCTTTGGGAAATACTTCATATCCAAACAGTAACAAAAATAATGAGATGAATCAATAGAATACAAAGTCAAATCAATAGAACATTATTTCAATTAAAATTTAGTAATCCCTGAAAGTAAAACATGTGAAAATAATAGGTAGATGAATGAAAGCCTTTGTAATAATTTAATCTGAAATGTGTAGTACTAATCCATTTAATAGATGTGAGAAACCTAAAGGGCTCAGATGTGATCTCATAATTCCAGTGGAGCAGCCTACAGCAAAGAAGCAGAACCAATAGGGCATGTGTGTATATAATTTGCTCATGCAATCATAATGTCCAATAAGCCTTCCAATATGAAATTCAAGTCCAAAGTCCATCAGGCTAGAGACCCAAGAAATAGTTATATTGCACTTCAAGTTCATAAGCTTGATGCTAGCAAAATAACCTCTTGCCATGTTGGTATAAATGACTTGGGAAACCAACCTTCATTTCAAACATTCATTATGTTCTTATACCATGAATTATTTCAGGAAAAAAACTCAATATTGATAGTTTTTGCAGTTTATCTGAAAGAGATTTTTTGCTTTTAATAAAATAGGTGAATGACTCATTGAAAATAAAAATTCTGAATAAATCAGGGTGTCAGTGAATGTATTTGTGGTTGTTTTAAGTGGTATTCCACTGCTATCACAGATATATTGATCTGAGTCACCTAAATTGTCAAGTCATAATTTCTTCTTTTATGTGATAGGTTAAAAGGAGAAAGCCATTATGGTCAATGAATGTTGGTGCAAACATCATTTCAGAAGGTCAATTATTTTCATTATTGTACATTTTCTTTAACTGCCACTGCCAGCATGTGGTGCCCACTTAAATGACAATTAAAAAAAATGTAGAAATTACAAGTCCCCACCTATCATATGTTAAAAAAAATGACAACAAAAAAGAAAAGAAGAAGTCAAAGATATCTTTGGAAAAAAATACTTTCCAGTGGAGTGAAATTCCATTGTAGAGGCTTTCACTCTTAATTACTAGTAGAGAAGCTCGTAGCACAGAAAAGCACACAATGCATTTAGAGGCTGAGCATGTGTCTGCCTCATTTGTTAATATACCCCAGACTGGGAGAACACACTGAAGTGTTTAAGATTGACTTTTAAGACTTGGAGTTAAGATTCAGTTCGCTTTATTCCATTACCCAAACAAAACACTATTATGTGTCTTAATTAAAGAAGAAAATAGTAGCAATGAAAAAGATGGGTTACAGACCACAGATGGGAAAAACAAAACAAAACAAACAAACAAAAAACACTCAAACCTTCATTCCATAGATTTTATGCCATATTTTCTCAGCAAGCAGTCCTGGGTATCTTGTAGTGAGCACAAGAGACACTCCCTAAATACATGTCCTGTGTATCTATCTCATAGATCCATTCAGAGGTTATTCATCAGCTGGATTCAAGATCCCTAAAGAACAGGGTCCACCTTTTTCCATTTTTAAGTTGTTAGTGCACACACATGGTGGTGCCTGTACATACATGTTCATGGACTTATATTTCATAAATGCAAATATTTTGTTATAAATGCAAATATTTTGTTATAAATGCAAATATTTTGTCTTCTTAAAAGTCTACAGAGACTTTTAAGAAGACAAAACTTTTGGTTAATGTGTTTATTGCACATGAGAATAATTTGGTAGCAAGAAGGCTGACATGGAAGATTTGCTTAATACATCTGGCTTTTTTGACAACAGTCAATTAAATAAAAATCTGTGCCTATTAGGTGAGTCCACTCTGACACACAATAGGGAAAAAACAAAAAGTATCACATTTGTTGTGCTCTAAAGCAGTGTTGGATGCAAGAAGACAGGAGTTTTTATGCCTGTATAATGTGCAAAACCTAAAAAAAAAAAAATCCATAACAAAACTGAATCCGTCATTAACCAGACTTCAGGCTGTCTATGTATCGTCCTCCCTTACTAAATGCACTCCTGATACATTGGCCATTTTTTTCCTTTGTCTGCAGGTTTTTCTATATGTTCATTCTGCCTCAATAAAGCATTCTCCACATGAAACCCTCATCCCTCCTTAGTGAGACACATCTCGGGCTTCTGTGCGAAGGTTAGCTTCTTTTTTTTATGTCTCATCTAAAATGATATTCCTTAGGATGCTTCTAAAAGAAGATATATCCCCCAAGTGCTTCTTGTAAGTACCATGTTAACCCATTGGCCTCTGAAGTTCCTTCACCAGGGGCTTCTTATCCTTCTGTCAGAGCAACCTTAAAACCTTAAGTCACTCAGTAAATTCTGGAAAGTAAATCAGCTGTCTTGTTCCTTCTTAGATGATCGCTATGCCTAGGCCATCTTCAGAACATGTCAAGTAAGGTAGGATGGAGATGGGTCTGAAGAGGCAAAGGAAAGACATTTCCATTGGGGTGGAAGGAAAGGCTCTCCAGAAGAGGGACCTTTGGGTTGAGGCTAAGCCTCATCAGTTCTCACGGGATGAAATACTAGTTTGAAAATCCATCTTCAGAATTTCATTGACTAGGTTGTCACTTCACTGAGCAACATTTGCAAGAAAACTTTGTTAAACTTTAGTTTCTTTGTCTGTAAAATGGATATAATATGGTTCCTGCATTGAGTTGCTCTGAGTCATATCTTTATGTAGATGTGAGTAATGAAGTTATGAAAATCCATTATAACACTGAACAATGGAGTAAGAGGGTGGTTCAAATAAATTTTTATGAACAAAAGCATGAAGGCTTGAAACACCATGATTTACATAGCACATGACTTTGGGAAGCTATAAATGTAATAATTTGATAATATAATGAAAAAACCGAGAACTGTAGGAACAGTCATGTTTCTCCTTTGTGTTTTCATGTATCATTTTGCATGCAATCACTTTTTAATTTTTTTTATAGTTGTAGATGGACACTATGCCTTTATTTATTTTTTTAATGTGGTGCTGAGGATCGAACCCAGTGCTTCACACATGCTAGGCAAGTGTTTTGCCACTGAGCTACAGCCTCAGCTCCGCAATCATTTTTAATAATAGTTGTATGGAGTTGAGCAGTCAGTTACTCCTAACCTGTACAAAAATATGTCAATTTATCTAGCTACAGGATTACGTGGCCAATAAAAAATCAGCAGAGGGATGAGGATGCAGCTCAGTAATAAAAGTGCTTGTGTAGCATACTGGAGGCTTTGAGTTCATTCCCCAGTGTTGCAAAATAAACAAGTAAATAAATAAATAGCTAACAGAATTGTGACCCAGATGTTGTTTGATTGACAGGACGTGCTGAGACCGAGAAAAAAAAGATATGAAGGCTTTTGGGTTTTTAATTTTAATTTTTGTTAAATTTATCTTAACTGCATATATGAAGTATCTTCACCCCTTATCCATGAGGGGTATACTCGTAGCCCCCAGTGATGCTCAAATTGCAGACCTTACTGAGAAATATACATAGTATCTGTTTTCTACTATCATCCATATTAATGTTAAAGCTTAATTTATACCTTGAAAGACAATCAATACCTAATCTTAAAATAAAACAATTATAATAGTATACTGTCATGAAAGCATTTAAAACTTCTGAATTACTTATTTCTGGAATTTTTCCGTTTAATATTTTTGGAATGTGGTTGAACTGAAATCACAGCAAGCAACCCCATTGATAAGACGAGGCCACTGTACTTCAAAGTCAATAATAAGCATGTCAGCCCACCGTGCCTTAAGCCTTATCTCACACCATGACAGATGAAGGGAAATTTTCCAGCATGAGTAGCTGGACACCGCAGAGGCAAAGGAGGAAGAAAATGGGATTTCTCCGCTTGTACAGGGGAATTAGGCAGCTGCTGCCTCCCCTGGAGAACCAGCCTCCTGGGAAACATAAGGGACCCTCTACTTCTAACTTTAACCCATTTGAAATATAAATAGTGCCTTTCAGGCCCCAAATATCTGAACCTTTCTAATCTAGGGATGTTCCCAAATTTCTAGATATTTCTTCCCAGAGTGGCAATACCTAGGAAGCAGCTGCTCTAGTTTTCTTGGTGGTTTGGGGCATAACTTGGGCCCTAGTCTGAACTATGACCATTTGTTTCTCTTTGAGAGATAAGAAGTTTTATTATCCTCTTGGATCAGAGAAATGAGCTAGATGAATGGCTACAGATCTAATGCTCATGGTATTTGAGGAGTAAAATATTTCCAGGAAAAGTAAAGGTAAATATTTTCTCTGTTGATGCTATAGCGATTTCTGAGTCTCGGAAGGCTAGGGGTTCTTACATAAGCTCTGAGAATTTCCCTGCAAAACCTTTATTCTTTACTTAGTATTTCTTGTGCTTAAAAGAGGGATCTTATAGCAACAGTGTAAACCAAAAAAACTGATAGGGAAATTTTATTTTTTAAAGAAAATAACAAATTTCAGCTTGTTTTTTATTTTATTATTTTATTTTTTATTCTGATTTGTTCCAGCTTGTTTTAAGTACATTTTTTTTGGAAAGTAAAACAAAATATATCTAGAAATTAAATACTCAAAATTCTTATGGAACCAAAGAAGATAGTCCCAAAGTAATTGCTATTATTAAAATTAAGTCATCTCTTCCCAGACATACCACTTCTCATTCTGACAGTTTTAATACAAAGGTATCAGATTTAAAGATATCACATACAGATATCTAAATATTAATAGTTTTCTAAATTCCTTATTTGTAAATAGAAAGCCCAAGCATTTTGGGGATACAGCTACTTTTTTTTTCAAGTGGGATTAACAACTTTCTTATATTTTTATGTTGGTCCTTGTGGCTTACTAGCATTGTTTCCTCTTGGTTTAGGGAATATGGTCCAGATAGTCAAGACCAATACCGAAAACAGGGAATTCATTTTCTCCTTATGATTGTTTTTTTGTTGTTATTTTAGTTAAAAAAAGATACTTATCTTTTATTGACCATGTGCCATGAGATATGCATTTAAATAGTCTCTTTAAAATCTTAAGAAGTTTTCAAATAGCCTTTTGGTGAAGAGACCAAAAGACATCCTAGGGTAGTGCAACAACAGCTTAGTGTTACATAGATATATGTGAACCATAGATAATAAATTTTCCATTAGGCACACTGAAAAAATAAAAGACATAGAAGAAATTAATTTTAATAGTATTTTTAATTTATCCCAAATATAATTTGGGATAAATTAAAATAAATAAATCCCAAATATAATTTCAGCTTGTAATCAATATAAGTATTATTAAAAATACTCCAGAATTGTGACTTGGTTCTTTTTAAAATGATGTCTCATTACTGATATTCTGTATTTGATAAGTCATTTTTATCAGACTTTGATTTAATTCTTCAAAAACGGTTTCCTTTAGTTCTTTAAGCAAACTAATACATGATTTGAAGTCTTTGCCTATTAAGTCCAACAGCTGTTAATTCTCAGGAACTTTGTTTATTAACAAAGTTTTTTTAAATTGTCACACTTAATTTTTTAATTGTCACACTTATTTCTATGCATGTCTTATCTCTTTTTCGTTCTAGAAAATGGGTTTGGGGTTTTGTTTGTTTCTGAGACAGTGTATCTCTCTTTTGAACTCCCGGGCTCAAGCAGTTCTCTTGCCTCATCTTCAAAGTAGTTGATGCTACAGGAACGTGCCATTGTGGACATTTCACATACCGTTTTTTTTTTTTAAAGAGAGAGAGAGAGAGAGAGAGAGAGAGAGAGAGAGAGAGAGAGAGAGAGAGAGAGAGGGAATCTTTTTTGTAGATGGACACAACACAATGCCTTTAATTTTTTTATGTGGTGCTGAAAATCTAACCGGGTTCGCCCCTGTTAGGCGAACGCTCTACCGCTGAGCCACAATCCCAGCCCACCATTTTATATAATATTATCAAAACGTTATATTCCTATGTCCTCTGGAATTGCTGTTTTTGCTTTTATTGTTTGTTTTTTTCTTTTTCTTTATGGTCATTTCTTTTTAATGACTTACCTATACTAATCTGGTAGAGTTAAGTTCCCTTGAAGTATGTGTCCATTGAAGCCACTGCTGTGTTATTTTAATTTTAGTTTTTTAGCCTGGTTCTCTAGGAATTACCTGTAAATCAGCCTTGCTTGGGGATCAACCACTGATTTATCAGAGGTTTTTTTTTTTATCATATTTTGATTGGCACTTTATCACTGAATCATGTATGGGTTCCAGAGCACCCTAAATGTAGGGGCAGTTTACAAGGTCTATACCAGCTTTTACTTCTGCATGTGCAAGCCATACTGCCAAGTACTCTCAGTTATCTACTGCTCTCTTCTCTCTCCTCTTTCATCTCTCTCTCTCTCTCTCTCATCTCTCTCTCTCTCTCTAATTTGCCGTTTTGGGGATCATACCCAGGGTCCACTATGTTTGGTTCATTCCCCAGATCTACCTGTGAACTTTCCCATTGGTCAATCTTGTGACCCCATACTAGTTTCTATTTTGTCCTTTCATGGTGTCTACCCCGATGGCTATACTTTTTGACAATACCTCTAGTCATAGGGCTTTTATTTTGTTTTTTGCAATACTTGATTCATAATTCAGTACTTGATTCAGACCTCCACTCTTGTAGTGAATAAGTCTTTCAGTGTTTACAACCTCTCCTGCCCCAGTAGAATTTCCCTGTCATGGGACTTGGTGGGGAATTGAGAACAACGATAGCAAAGCAGCATGGATCCATGTACTTACTGAAGTTCATAACATTTTCTTGAATTAAAAAATGCCTTTTAATTGACTGGACCCTTTTGGTCAATTTCCATTGTCTCCATATAATTACATTTGATAATTTTGTCCAATTTTATCATTGCTGTTTTGGAAAATATTTGTTGGGATTCTCACTTAGCATTTGCAGAATAATGAATACATTTTTGATGAGAAAATGATTATGAAATGCACTTACATCACATCGTCTGTTTTAAAATAAAAAAATTATAGTGAACAACTAAAACCACATTTTTATTTTACTACTATTAAAGTCTAATTATTTTAGTAGTATTCCTGTTATCATAATGAGAAGTTATTTTAATCAAGGTGGATTTTCAAATACTTGATTTAGTTACTTTAATTAGAAATTCACACTCTTAATCCAAATAGCCTTTAAATTGAT